CTGTGATTCTATGATTCTATAAATACTGATTTTTTTTTGTGGAATTTTTGATTGTGATAATGCTGGTTTTGAGTTTGTTCTGAGTTGGTACCTATGATGTGACAGGGGTTGTTGGAGTCAGGACTGCTCTGTCACCATCACGGAGCCAGGGAGGCAGTTCAGGGCACAGATGGCATCCACCCCTTCCAAAATCTTTAATCTCTTCACCATCACATAGAGGCRAAGAAAAATGGCTTTGGAGAGGATAACGTGCATTTCTCCCAACAGGTAATTTTTGAAGTCAGACCTCACTGTCTTGAAACCACAAATAAATAAATGGAGGTCRAAAGAGAAGGAATGACCAAGTGCCCATTCCAAGTCCCTGTAATTAGGCTTTGGCTAATTTATTTCATTTCTCAGCTTTCTTTGCTGGGATGTAGCTTCTTGCTGCTTCCCTGATGGCAGGTCTCAGAGSAAGGATAGGCATGGAGAATCCAAATCAGGGACTTATAAAAGAGGAGGCAAAATAATGCAGCATAAGGAAGAGGAAGCAGAGAGCAGTGTAAATAACCTCTCCATCAGCAGTTTTTACATTTCTCTCTCCCCCAGTGTCTCTTTCCAGGTGGATCCATCATATCTATTAAATAGACCTCTGGCCAGCATCCTGAATTTAAAGCTTTCATCCCAGTTTGAACTTCCACATTGAACTTTCCCATTTCAGGGGGATGGAGTGGATTATTTCAGTTCATGTTCTGTCTGCARCCACTGTACAAGCTCCTGCAGTATCTGATGGTCCTTCAGATTCTTCCTGGCAATAGAGCTTAATAGTTTCCAATGGTGATGATAATTKTTTAACCTGAGTCCAAACCCCTTAAGGATCCTTTAGAGGCAGAAAAGTTGCTTTTCTGCTTTGGCAGACACAGTTGAGCTCACAGTATGCAGCAGACGATTGCTCAGTGTCACCGTTAACACTCCCTGGTGCGGATGGAGACAGAGGGAAAAGAGAACCCMAGATAATGGGATAAAATAGGTTAGAGTGGGGTTTTAGGCTGACATTAATGCGTTAGGGATCCAGCTCCTGCGGGAGCTAATGGAAGTGCTGCTGTAAGTGCCTCTGCAGAAGAATAAGACAGTGCTGGTAATGRGTGAGGCAGCACAGGGTACAGGAGAGCTTACCACTGTCACTGATGCCTCTCCTGACACTTTTTGGGTCTCTCCTCCCATCTCTCTGTCCTCAGAGGCAGACACATCTCACCCGTGTCTAGATCACTGCCATCCCCCTCAGGTGCCAGATTTGGGCTGTGGGGTTTTGTTGTATTCAGGGATRCACACAGAGGACATGCAGGATAGGGAATGGGCTGACTGAGGATTGGTTTGGAGCACAGCACCTCAGCTGCTGTTAGTCTTTAGGTCTGCATTTGATGTGCTCCAGCAGCTGCAGATTCAACACAAGAGCCTCTCTGGAGGGCTGGAAATAGCTTCATTATTTCCAGATGCACATCTCAGTGGCATTCCCCAGCTCAGMCTGAGCTCAGCCTGGGTGGTTTTTTTTGCAAACCAAGACATTCCTCCTCTTCCCTGTGTCAGCCTTTCCCTGGGGACCATCCCTGTCACCCACAGATACTCTGAGAGCCAAGCACGGTGAGCAAACCAGCTCTGGTGTATCTGAACTGCCTGATTTATAGAGGTTGAAGGGCAAAGTTAATTGTGAGGGTGATGGCTGTGAGATCTCCCCACTGGTGAACTTYAGACTGTAATTTCCAAGCTGGGGAAAATGGAAGTGATGCCCTGAATAGGACACTATCAATAGACTTAAACAGAACAAAAAAACCAAACCAACCAAGCCAAAATTCCACCCTGCTGCTCAGTGAGAGCAACATTCCCTGAGATGTGGCAAGTGGATGGGTGAGGGTGGCTACTCCTAATTAGTCAATA